CGGAGTTACCGGCTGCTTCAGCGGGTGGAGACCGGTTTGGGAGCCCCGGGGGAGCGGGGCCGGCCGTCGGGAAGAGCCGCCCTTCCCCGAGTAGGTCCCGTTGTGTGGTGAGAAGGGGGGGGTCGATAATTTAGGGGTGGTTATGGGTCATAAGGGCTCTCCGGTAAAACCGGAGGGGGGTTGGGGGGGGTGTGGTGGGGTTGTTTACCGTTCCGGGAGACCTTTCCCCTCCCTGGGGGCTTTAACTCTTCCAGGTGGGGAAAAAAAAACCTCTTTCCAAGCGGTGTTGGGGTGCAGGGAGGCATTTGCCTAATTAAGCCGCGCGTGGAGCTAGTTAAAAATTCAAATTGGAGGGGGGGGGCGGTTTAATTAAAGTGCTCTCCCAGGGATTAAAAGCCACACAAAGGCTGGTGCGGGAGGACCTGAAGGTTCAAGCGAGTCCTTTCTCTGCCTGGGTTGGGAGGGAGGTAAGAAGTAAGGAAATAGCTACACCGAGGGGAAAATGGAGGGTAAAACCCGGGATGGTTTCATGGCATCGCTCTAATTGCGGTCCCCAAACTCCGTCGCCGTGTCCTGGCTTCATTCTTTGCACTGCTACTCCACGCTAACGATTTGTTATCCATAAATCCATCTTTTTTTGGATGGGGGGGAGTTTTTCGCAGCGGGTTGTGCCGCAACCTCTCAGCAGCCCCGTAGAAATCCTGCCGTAACCTGTCACGGGCTTTTTGTACCCAAACTCAGGGAAAACAGGCTGGTGCCCACATACCAGGGTGTTGCTGCGCCCGAGGTGTGTTTGCTCGGCGTCTTAACCCCGGGATCAGGTCGTTTCTTTCTTCTTGTTAACCAACCCCAGGCACGTATTAAAACCACACGCCCTGCTGAATGTGTGTCCCCCCCAACTCCTCCCCGGGTGGGAGAGGTGACACCTCACCCCACCTCAGGGTGTTGAGGGTGTTTCAGCCGGGTTGGGGGCTTGGAGGGTCTCCCTCTGAGTGTGTGCGTGGCGTGGAGCTGGGCCAGATGGTGTCTTGTGCCTCCCCCCGCGAGCCCAAGGCTGGGTGCAGCTGGCAGGTAACGCCTTCTTGCTCCTGACATTCAAACCCCTTGTCCACTTGATAGCGTTTCGTTTGCCACCTAAAGCTCTGCTACTGCTGGATAGATAAAAAACAAACAAAAAAAAAAAAGCAAATGCTTTTCATTTTTCATTTTGGAGCTGGGCTGTTATTTGGCGTGGAGGAAAATGAGCTGGGGAAGAGTTCAAGGAGAGAAAATGAGCTGGAGAAGAGTTTGCAGACAAGTTGGGGAAGAGTTTGTGTAAGGAAAATGAATTGGAGAAGAGTTTGTGGATGAGTTGGGAAAGAGTTTGCAGAGAGAAAAATGCGTTGGAGAAGAGTTTGCAGAGGGAAAAATGAGTTGGGGAAGAGTTTGAGGAGAGAAAATGAGTTGGGGAACAGTTTGCAAAAGGAAAATGAGTTGGGGAAGAGTTTGTGGATAAGTCGGGGAAGAGTTTGCGGAGGGAAAAATGAGTTGGGGAAGAGTTTGAGGAGAGAAGATGATTTGGGGGAAGAGTTTGCGGACAGAAAATGAGCTGGGGAAGAGTTTGCAGAGGGAAAAATTAGTTGGGGAAGAGTCTGAGGAGAGAAAATACGCTGGGGAAGAGTTTGTGGAGGGAAAATGAATTGGGAAAGAGTTTGAGGAAAGAAAATGAGCTGGGGAAGAGTTTGTGGATGAGTCAGGGAAGAGTTTGCGGAGGGCAAAATGAGTTGGGGAAAGAGTTTGTGGAGGGAGAAATGAGTTGGGGAAGAGTTTGAGGAGAGAAAATGAGTTGAGGAAGAGTTTGCAGATGAGTTGGGGAAGAGTTTGCGTAAGGAAAATGAATTGGGGAAGAGTTTGAGGAGAGAAAACGAGCTGGGGAAGAGTTTGTGGATGAGTTGAGAGATTTTGCAGAGTGAAAAATGAGTTGGGGAAGAGTTTGTGGAGGGAGAAATTAGTTGGGGAAGAGTTTGAGGAGAGAAAATGAGCTGGGGAAGAGTTTGTGGAGGGAAAATGAATTGGGAAGAGTTTGTGGATGAATCGGGGAAGAGTTTGTGGAGGGAAAATGAGTGGGGGAAAGTTTGTGGAGGGAAAAATGAATCAGGGAAAGAGTTGGTGGAGGGAAAAGTGAGTTGGGGGAGAGTTTGCAGAGGGAAAAATGAGTTGGGGGGAAGAGGTTGCAAAGGGAAAAATGAGTTGGGGGGAAGAGGTTGCAAAGGGAAAAATGAGTTGGGGGGAAGAGGTTGCAAAGGGAAAAATGAGTTGGGGGGAAGAGGTTGCAAAGGGAAAAATGAGTTGGGGGGAAGAGGTTGCAAAGGGAAAAATGAGTTGGGGGGAAGAGGTTGCAAAGGGAAAAATGAGTTGGGGGGAAGAGGTTGCAAAGGGAAAAATGAGTTGGGGGGAAGAGGTTGCAAAGGGAAAAATGAGTTGGGGGGAAGAGTTTGCAAAGGGAAAAATGAGTTGGGGGAAGAGTTTGCGGAGGGAAAAATGAATTGGAAGGAAGAGTTTGCGGAGGGCAAATGAGTCAGGGAAAAGTTTGCAGAGAGAAAAATTAGTCTGGGAAGAGTTTGTGGATGGAGAAATGAGTTGGGGGGAAGAATTTGCAGAGGGAAAAATGAGCTGGTAAAGAGTTAGCAGAGAGAAGGTGTATTGCCCCTCGTAGCTCGCGGGCTCTTTGCACAAGGGACACGCTCTGACCCACCTTAGAGGAAGCCTCGGAGTGGCGCTGGGGGCACTGGGAGTTGTCTTTTCGTTTTGAAAACTGGTATTTGGTAGGTCATTTGTTGTTTTAGAACAGAACTGTGTCCGTTTTGAAACTGTACATTAGCTAAATAGCCTCTTTTTTTTTTTTTTTTTTTTCCAAGCCTGTGGCTGGAATAGCTCAGTGCTGGTTGTAAACAGGGTGGTGGGAGGTGGCCAGGAGACTCCGTGGCTTGTTTGTAGTTGGCCTTTCCTTTGTTTCTCTGTATTTTGATCTCAGTGAACCTTGAAGGGCAGCGAGTGAGATCGGTTTAAGCATCTTTTTATGTTAAAAAAAAAAAAAAAAAGTGAGAGAAGGACTGGCTTTGGCAGCTGGTCCAGTTGGTGACACAATCCAAAATGCACACGGTGTTTTTGATGGTTGGGGATTAAAGGGCGTAGTCGTCTTTCTAGGGTTTACTGTAGATCTGAGCTGTGTTTCTGGTGGTCCTTGCTCAAGAGGGAGGCTAGTGGTGGCTCAGTGTGGGCTAGCTGCAGGTCAGAATGGAGGGCAGGGAGTGCTCTCAGGTCCTTGGGCTGGGAAAAGGGATGGGAGGCCACCACCAGGGCTGGAGATGCACTGGTGACTCCAGGAACCAGGCATGAGTTGCTCAGTTCTCAGCAGTGGCCTTTCCTTTACTCTTGTCTCTCTCTCTCTCTCTTTGGGAAAATAACAGCTAAATATAGCGTAAAGAATTTAGTGACGTCATGAAAACATAAAAGAATTGAGACATAACTGATGCGGGATAAATTCCAACCCATTTCTTAATAGAAATATGGCCCAGCTTATCATCCCGGCTACTTCCTTTTAAGGTAGTGCTTTCAGAAGCACCCAAGCCCTGGATGTTAAACCTAATGTTTCAAAAGTAATTATTTAGGAAGTGTGGAAGGATTCTGACAAAAAAAAAAAAAAAAATAACTGCTGGGACAGTGGACAAAGGCATTTGAGATGCTGTCTTTGGGGTATATGAAACTGAGGTTCTAGCAAACGTGTTCAGCTTGAAAATACAATTAAACAGTCTGAAAATTGAATGCAAGTTTGAGCCTGAGGCTGTTAAACATGAAGCTGATTGTTTCACGGTCTCCTGCACAGGAAAGAGTATTGGCTTTGCACTCTATTTATCCTCTTCCTGGGGAAAAGATGAAAGCATTTTATATTCATACGGACAAATATTTGTCTATCTTTCAGATTCTGCCAATCTCCCAAGGTCGGGGCTTGAACCCTGCCAGATAAAGTCAAAGCCGGCCCCCCCCATCTCCTCCCTGCCCCCCTCTTTTTTTTTTTTTTTTTTTTTTTTTTTTTTCCCCAACCATGCAAAAGGCGGGATGAAGCTGGAAGCTGTGGTGGAGCAGCTGCAGAAGCAGCAGCAGAAGCAGCAGCCGCCTCTGCAGATGGATTCCAGGGAGAGACAGCAGAGGCAGATGAGAGAAGCCCAACTGCTCTACACCCAACAGCTGGCCGTGCAGCAGGCTGTCCTCGCTGCCACATCTGGCAGGGCTTCAGGAGGCACCTCTCTAGGTCCCTTGGCCAGAGGCCCACCTGCAACCGGAGCTACGAGGGCTTTTGATCAGAGCAGCATGAATTCCGAGCCGGAAGAAGAAGAAGAGGAGGAGGAAGAAGAAGAGGACGAAGAGGAGGAGGAGGAAGAAGAAGAAGGGGGTTTGGAAGGTGGCGATCGGACGAAGAGGAGGAGGAAGAAGAGGAAGAAGAAGGGGGTTTGGAAGGTGGCGATCTGGAGGATGGGGCTGACGTGACTGGCAAAGAAAGCTGCTCGGCTCTGAAATATTTTCACCCTCCCAAAGTTGCTCATCACAACCAAAGAGTGGGCTCTACCTCCAACGCTCTGCCGGCGCCGGGGCAGCAGCGGGGACAGCAGGGCAAAGAAGAACAGGGTAAAGACACTACTAAACAACCGTATTCCGGTTCCCCCTCTGGACGCCAGAGCTGGCGGTTGGACGAGCAGCTCAAACAGGTCAGTGGTAACATCACTTCCTTCTGAGAGTGACCCTGGGCAGGATTTCTTTTTTGGAAAAAGCTCAAGAACCGGGCTCTTGCAAAGTGCTGCTTCCCCGGGTCGCTCTCCCAGCTTTATTCTTTTATAAAGGGATTTTTCTTCACAGCCAGAGATGACAGAGGAACCCAAATGTGTAAAAACCTTTGTGGGGAGGTAGAGGTTTGCTGTTTGGCTCCTTTCTCTCCCCTCTCCCTGCTGCCGTGCCCTTCAGAATGGAACAAGCTGGTGTTATATTTATTTTTGATCCAGGCACTTGCCTGCTAATGTGTCACTCCCGAGTTTTTTCACCTACAGCATCTATAACCCCTTTGTGTAAGAGCTCTGGGATGCAGCCACCGTGGCTGGATCTCTGGTTGGTGGCAAAAAGGGAGAAAAGTGTGTCCTGCCACCGCTCCTGGGAGTCAGCAGGGTCACTTTATATCTCACCTGTGGGACGGGAAGGGGCTTATTTTCAGTAGGAGGTTAATTCTATATTTGAAAGCAGAATCTTTACTCCTTGTAGAGAAATGCCAAAGGATCAAGAATTCTTTTCTGTGTTGTGAGTGGGTGTTTCGGTTAATGTGCTGGTTTGTTAGAGCTGACTTGAGCAGACTTTGAGACTTTTTACAGTATTTATGTGTGTTGAAGTGGAGCCAAAGGTTTAAATAAAGAAGAAAAAAGTTGGACTTCGTTGTCCTTTCCTACAGATGTTAGCCTGAGCGTGAAGAGAGCCTGGGTTTGCTTCAGATGGGAGTTCTTTAAGCTGAGAAACCTTCTATGGATGAAACCAGAGCTGTTTTTTTTTTTCCTTCCTTCCTGCAAACCCTATGAAGTGAAAAAAGTAGGAGCTTCTTTGGAGAAGTCCCCTTCTTTGGAGATTTTCAAGACCCACCTGGATGCAGTCCTGAGTAACATGCTCTGACAAGCTCTGGGTGGTCCTGCTTTAGCAGGGGAGTTGGACTAGATGATCTCTATGGTCCCTTCCAACTCTAAAAATTCAGTGAAAATTCAGTGAAATTCTTGGTGGTGGCTGGTGAAGCCCGAGGTGTTTGAAACTTTGCTGTTTGGGCGCTCGGGGTGGGCTGGTGGTTCCACAGAGGAGATAATTCCTCCTGTGCTTTCACAGGCAGCAGTTTGAGGTGGAACTGCTGAATCTCAGCAAGCTTTATTTCTTCTCCCCTTCCGTTTAACGTGGCCTGCAGGCTCCTGGCTTGGCTTGGCTTGGCTTGCTCCTGCAAACCCATCCCAGCTTTTGGTGTTCCTACACCAGCGCACGTGGTGGGATGTCCTCTAAGTTACCAGGTGAATGGGGTTTGTGCCACGAAACACTCCCTGGTGCAGGGGGGAGGCAGCAGGTCTAGTTGCTGTGTGTTTTCTCTGCCCTTGCCTTCTCCAGAAGGGTTGGGTTGGGGAAAAAAAAACAACAAAGCCAAACCCACCCAAGAGTTACTCAAGCTGTTGTAGGGAAACGAGGTGGGGTTTGTCGGTCAGGGGCCGGTCGCTTGAGAAATTGCTTCAGAATTTACTGGATTGGAGCGACTGGTGCAAACTTCCTCTTTCAGGGCTCGGGGTGGAGAATAATAAGCAGGACTTTGGTGTTGCGGGGATCGCTTGATTTTAAAAAAAAACCCCAATAAACTCAGTGTTTGGCTGGTTTTATTTCTAGCTCGGCTGGTGCTAACAAGCACGTCCTTGTGCTTTGTTGCAATACTTGTGAGAGTCCCGTGGATCTTCCCAAATTAATAGGCTTTGATTCTAAATCTCAGCGAGCTTTGTTTCTTCTCCCCTTCCATTTAATGTGGCCTGCAGGCTCCTGGCTTGGCTTGGCTTGCTCCTGCAAACCCATCCCAGCTTTTGGTGTTCCTACACCAGCGCACGTGGTGGGATGTCCTCTAAGTTACCAGGTGAATGGGGTTTGTGCCACGAAACACTCCCTGGTGCAGGGGGGAGGCAGCAGGTCTAGTTGCTGTGTGTTTTCTCTGCCCTTGCCTTCTCCAGAAGGGTTGGGTTGGGGAAAAAAAAACAACAAAGCCAAACCCACCCAAGAGTTACTCAAGCTGTTGTAGGGAAACGAGGTGGGGTTTGTCGGTCAGGGGCCGGTCGCTTGAGAAATTGCTTCAGAATTTACTGGATTGGAGCGACTGGTGCAAACTTCCTCTTTCAGGGCTCGGGGTGGAGAATAATAAGCAGGACTTTGGTGTTGCGGGGATCGCTTGATTTTAAAAAAAAACCCCAATAAACTCAGTGTTTGGCTGGTTTTATTTCTAGCTCGGCTGGTGCTAACAAGCACGTCCTTGTGCTTTGTTGCAATACTTGTGAGAGTCCCGTGGATCTTCCCAAATTAATAGGCTTTGATTCTTGGGATGTTCACCCTGTTCTGGCATAAATGTACCAGATCTGGTCTTAGCTGGAAAAAAAAAAAAAAGAATAAGATGACTGTTTTCTAATTGCGCTAATACTGATCCGGTTACTTTGGCCCGTTTCAGCAATAATGAAGTATTTTGATAGTAGGTTGCAGCTTAATCTGATTTCAGGCTGACTTGTTCTGGAAGCCAAAGTGCATAAGGCTCCACTGGGAAGGAAAATGAAAAGAAAAAAAAAAACCTCTCTTGCTGCTGTGTTAAAGGAACAAGTTTTGCTGCTGGGGAGGCAGATGGTGAAAAAAAACAGTGAGGGATTGGAGAAAAGAAGGGCAACAAAGATGGTGAGGGGTCTGGAGCACAAGTCTTGTGAGGAGAGGCTGAGGGAGCTGGGGGGGTTCAGCCTGGAGAAGAGGAGGCTGAGGGGAGACCTTATTGCTCTCTCCAACTCCCTGAAAGGAGGGTGTAGAGAGGTGGGGGTCGGTCTCTTCTCCCAAGTCACAGGCGACAGGACGAGAGGAAATGGCCTCAAGTTGCACCAGGGGAGGTTCAGGCTGGATATTAGGAAAAATTTTTTCCCTGAAAGGGTTCTCAGGCATTGGAATGGGCTGCCCAGGGAGGTGGTTGAGGCCCCATCCCTGGAGGTGTTCAAAAGACAGGTTGATGTAGTGCTGGGAGGTCTGGTTTAGTGATGATGCTCCTTGTTTGTTGTGTGGGTGTCTATTTTTGTCAAAATTAGGTTGACGGTTGGACAAGATGATCTTGAAGGTCCCTTCCAACCTAGAAGATTCTGTGATTCTGTGAAATTAATGGATATCAAGTTAAGGAATGGGTTGTAAAGGTATCCTAAGGATGTGCTGTACTATAATTTTTTTGGATGACGGGAGAGCGGGATGGAAAGTGGTCAGGTTCACGTGTTGTCCCAAAATACCACATCCCAGTGCCGTTACCGAAGGTGGAATACTGGTCTAGATGGTCTGCCCCAGTAGGGTATGGTTTATCTTCCAAACCACGCTGGTCCACGGCGTTACGGAGGTGCCCAAAAAGGCCGGTCTGAGCGATGCTGGTGCAGTCTATTCACCTTGAGGAGGGTAAATATTGCAGAGCAACTTGTTTGCCCTTCACCGCCGGAGCCCGCATACCAGGGAGTAAAAATTTAACTGGCAGCATTACCAGTTCAGAGCTGGTGCGTGGAGCTGGAATAAACTGGGGGGCCAGGGGGGACACCCCATCTTTTAGCTGGCGGGACAGCGAAGGGGGAAGAAACGCGCGCGCGGCTGGGGATCATCCCCCAAATTCTGCGCTGTCTTGCTTGAAATTTTGCATTTCAAAGGCGTGGTTGAAAGATGCTGGGCTTTTTCTTTTTCTCTTTTGTCTAAAATGGTCGTGTTCAGCGGGAAAAAAAAAAGGGGGGGGGG